CCCAATCTACTATAATCTTTGGGATTGTCCATATCGAATCTGACACCCTGTATACATATACGTATTGTTTTTACTATTAGAAATATGTTTCATCCATTTTACGACGATTTGAGCAAAATGGGGTTGCAAGATAAAAAGTTATACAACAAAACTAATTTATAATGGCCAATGGTAATGTCTCATTAAATAAGATAAATTCTAAAATTACCAAAATTTGGAAATTTGGCAACCACATACTAATATTATGGGTTTAGTAGTTTGGTACAAAATGAAACACTTGCTGAAAAAATAACATTGCATCGCAAGGCTCGCCTACTTGCGTCCCTTACAGAAGTGTAACAATTGGGAACGAAAAAAGTGCTGAACAGTTACTAGAGTTCAGTAATTGAATTTTTAGAAATTACTGATGTACAGTAATTTTCTAGTAATTACTTTGCTTATATTTCTATAAGGGACGTAATGCAACGCAAAAATTTTCCTCTTTATATTAGACACGTACGTTACGTGCCTACTAGCGTTCGCACTTATCTCTCTTGAGAGAAGCTGAAACTACTTGACAACAAATAAAATATTACATCCCACAATGCAGCGGTTTTTTTAAATAATAAATTATTTTACAAATTTAAATATATTTTGTTTATGTGCAAGGTAATTATTGAGATAATTCTGAAAAGATTGCTAATGTTAAAAATCGTAAAACAGACTGTCATAAAGCGAGTTTCTTACTGAACTAAAACTAAAAAAATTTTGTACGGAAGGGCGAAAATTTCAAGTTTCGTCACTGTCTCACGTTACTGGCAATGAGAGTATATATACATACTTTAAACAACGCATCTGGTGATTCTTTGTAGTTTTACATTTGCTCTTATACTGGGCGCTAACTCTCTGTGCTTCGTGGAATATACATAAAATTTTACCTCATCCGGGGTATTTTATTTTTCGTAATCAATTTTCTACAGTGATTTTTAATAGGATGTGTATTAGCAAAAAAAATAAAATTGTTTATTTAATGTCGATTATTTAGTTGTCAATTTAAATATGTAAATTTACTATTCTAACAAACAATAGGACCGTGTTTTAAATCCGACAAAAAATCGGCGCACAGTTTATTGAGTTTGGAATAAGTATATGAAGGCTTATACAATATATTACGACTGGACAATCAGCTCCGACCGGTAATTGGTATTTTTTAGTTGATTTAAATTTTTATCAGTTTTATACACTTACTTCCTTTATTACGTTTAATGTGTTTTAATATGTTAATAAAATTTAACCTCGCTAGTTTCTATTGAAAAATTTATAAAAATTTAAATAAACTAGTGCATATGCAATCATGTGCATACCGATTATTATTTTCCAATTTATGCGGGTGTATTTGTAGGAATTTTAATAATAATAATTACTTTTATCAACTGTAAAAAAAGACTACAAATTATTCCCAACTCAGTGCTCATCATGCCTGTTTCTGCTTGCAGCTATAAAAACGAGTTACCTCATGATAAGGATTTCAAGTTATTATATTGCTGACAGTTAAGGCTTTTCATACAAACTTTCTTGCAATTTAGAGTTGAAAATAAGTTGACTCAGTGATAATATGAAATCCATATTCCTTGTGCTTATAAATATTATGATTTTCCCAGAAGGAAGGTCGCAAAATCTTCGAAGCATATTCCTAGACCTTCTCGTCCCTAAGAAACCTGGTTTAACGAGAGTAAGAAAAATGGATCTGAGGGATGGAGCTGAGAGAAGGAATAACGTAAAAGTATTGGATTTTGTGAGTAAGAAATTGTTTTTAATCAAATTTACATGCATTCTTAGTTAAATCAAAACTGTTAGCTCCATGATAAATATACAATTTCATCTATAGATGAAATACAATTTTACTGTCTTGTTAAACCTACAATTTTTAAATTTTGTATAAGTATTTTTTGACATTTAGAACAAATAAAGATAAAAATAGGCATGAAATAACGATATCCTGTGGATATTATACATCACGCTATTCTTTTAAGCAGATTGGCCTGGTGGAACAATACGATTATCCCGCTGAGGAGCATAACGTCACAACAGAAGATGGTTATAATTTGAAGTTACACAGGATACCTGGAAGTCCATCGTTCGATAGCAAGAATAAGAAAGAAATTGTGTACCTCCAACACGGTCTTTTGGCTTCGTCTGATAGCTGGGTAATGTACGGTACTGGTAAAGACCTTGGTATGTATTTATACTGATAACATACAATTGCTAACGTAATGTGCGAATCCATTCACACAAGGCATCGTGCAAAATTATACCATACGTTTCCGTGAAAACATCTTACATTCAAATCTTTTCTAACTTGAAAATTATTAATATCTTGCTATTTCTGTAAATTTGTTCTTATTAAAATTTTGTCAATTTTTTCTACATACAAAAATATCAATATCGTTTTATTTTATTTTAATATAAACTTTTAAGAGATATTGAAAATAAAGAGCTTTTTCATAAATTTCAAATTTCAAAGAGATATTTATAAAAAATGGTGTGTGTGTGTGTGTGTGTGTGTGTGTGTGTGTGTGTGTGTGTGTGTGTGTGTGTGTGTGTGTGTGTGTGTGTGTGTGTGTGTGTGTGTGTGTGTGTGTGTGATATTTATCTTTTGAAGTGGAATTAACAAATTATAGAATTGGAAGCATAATCAGTATTTAAAATATCATTTTTAAAAATTTTAAAGTTATAAAATATAATTGATATTATTTTAAAAATTAAGTTTAAATTTTAGAAAAAATAAAGACATAAATTTAGTATATTAGTACATGTGCACAGTTGCATCCTAGAATGCAGTTTATTAAAATCTTATATTGCAGCCTTTTTATTAGTAGATCAAGGATATGATGTATGGATTGGAAATATGAGAGGAAATACTTACTGCAGATCGCATACGAATATGACGATACACGATCCTAAATTCTGGCAATTTAGGTAAAACATTACCATTAAAATTATTTTAAGTAAACAATGGAACAAGCTAAAAAATTTACTTTTACACCGTAATTACAACCTGCCTAAAATGACATATTTAAGAAGCAAAAACGATAAAGTAATCATTACTTGTATTTAATAGTATATGTATACCTACTCATCAAGTAATATAAATATAGATTTAGGAGTTTCTAAAAGAATTATTTATATGCAATAAATACGTAACACATCCATGAATGAAAGGATACCAACAAGATTTGTAAACGTTAAAGTTTGCACAGTATTCTCTTACTAGATTTTTATTAACCAAATTATTTATCACGAATTTTCTCACTATAAATTGTGCGCGTTTATTATAAGGAGGCAAGGGAAAGTGAGAAAATACATGTATGTTTGTAAAATTTTTTATTTACAGCTTTCACGAACATGGAACAAAAGATCTACCAGCCATATTTGATTACATTTTCAATTATACACAGCAAACAGATTTATATTATATTGGTCATTCAATGGGAACAACTTCGATATTTACTCTTCTGTCATCAAAATCAGAATACAATATGAAAATGAAAATGGTTATTTGCCTAGCTCCAGTTGCTTTTTGGCCGAAAGTAACACCTTCATTGAATGGACTAGTTAATTTTCTTTTAGCATTTAAGGTAACTGCTCAAACCTGTCACATTTTATTGCAGCAGTAGTCTTTAAAATTCAATATTACACAATCATTATTTTTACCATTTAATATGTTAAAAATAATGTTGTTACTCTGGCTGAGGTAACATTGTTCGTAATAATTTTCTTTAATTGGAATTTGCCAGTTAGCGTTGTTTAACAATTTTTCTACTTTGGTTAATCATGTACTGTTGTTAAATAATTCTTTACGTTAAAAATATTGTTTGCTATTATGAGCTATTACTTGAATGTTAATTCTTTTATACGTTTCAGAAAATTTTTAAACAGCATGAAATATACAATGTCTTCCCACAATGTTGGTCGACTATTATGATAGGAAGAATATTCTGTAATGACAAAGCAATAACTCAAATTATTTGCGTTACTTTACTATTCCTATTCGCCGGTCCTGATCCAGCACAACTTAACACTGTAAGTTATATTTATATTATACAGGGTGCTACG